TTGTGGTCCAAGGTACTCTCAGAATTTTCCTCCAAGTTCAAAAACTTCTATCTTCCTTCGCTCAGCCTTCCTTATGGGTCTGGGCAGCCGCATGTGAAACCCACCCTCCCCCAGCCTCCCCTCCCCACACACACCTACCACACCCCTTGCCTCCCCCTGCACCAACTGTCCCCTAGCCACTTTCTTTTTCATGTTGTTATCCTTTTCACTATCCTTTGTTTTATTTTCTTATTCCAGCTTCAGTCATTCAACCATTCATTTTCAATATAGAAAAGAACTGACTATTGGTGAAGAATTCATTTTAACAGGCTCTTTCAAAGACATGTGGGAAGTGGGTAAAAGAAGAAAGTTTATTAGGAACATACTAACTTTTTAAAATCCATATCTTACGATAATTTATATAAAGTTACTTCATGCTATCTGTAAACATCCAAATGTCATAGAGGTCATGGTTTCAGAACATGAAACCTTGTTCATTGTTTGTCACCTTTGTGCCTCCTGGATATTTGATAGCTCTTTGTATTTTAACAGATGTTCTGTTAGACTGTGGATATTAATAAAGTTAGGAGGGAAGAATGATAGAACATTTTGGCTGCATTTCATAAACTGAGTCAGACTATTTGGAGTCAGACCAGTTTAGTCTTGTAGAATGCTCCGAGATGAACGATCCAGCTGTAAAACACACCAGGCAAACTAGCAAGTCGTATTAAGGACAAAGCATGCTGATAGTTGAGCCAGTACACTGTTGTAAACCTGCTCTGATGTCAATACTGCAGCAACCGTACACTATCAGTGCAGGCACTTACAATGGTATCGTAATTAGAATTCTATTGTATGTGCAAAGCAGGGAGATTACATTTTCCTGGTCTTTCATTTAGCTCCTGTCACTCAGGACGCATGTTAAGGGCTCAGTTGAACTTGGGTTTATGCTCTGTTGCAGAGGATATGGGACTGACAGTGATCAGCAGAGAAAACAATTTGGAAAAGCAAAGTTCCAGGCACGGGCCTGGCATTTGTAGCTGGTTGGAAAGACACTTTGTGCTCTAAAGCTGGATTCTAATTTATTAACATACTTCAGAAATGTCTCTACTCCCTCCAGTTCAGAGGGAGTAGAGACATTTCCAGAGCAGATCTGATACCTGCTAACTTCAAGAGCAATTAGACGGCAAAACCTAAAACACCTCATATATGACACAGACACTAAGATGATCCTGCTAGAGTCAATCAAGGTTATTTTGTTTTTAAATTGGATTAATTAAATATTAATTAATTTGATGTCAACAGATGACACTTCGTGCCAAATTCTCTCATGATTCAACTCAGTGCATTTCTATCAACAATGAAAGAAAAAGGTGTGTCACTTTTTTAGATGAATCACGCAGCTACACAATCTTGGGGATTTTTTTTATTCAATATTAGAAGTTCAAATAAACCCAACTCCATTGTTAATTGGGTTGGAATAGTGGTAGGAAGGGAGGCATTGTTCACATTGTTCCAAGTTCACCTTAGAAGAGAAAGCATAATTAACGCCCAGGCAGGCCGTACAAAAAGAATCTGCGAACCCCACCTCCTCCAAGGTGAATTGAACCACCTAAACTGGGCTGTATAGGCCAATGGATACTCCACCACAGGCATCAGAAGAGCTGCAAGATGAAGAACAAGCCATGAGAGTAAAGGCAAAGACCCACCCAGAGGAAAAGTGTTCTTACCATACATCAAGGAAACCACTGACCACATAGGGAAGTTGATGAAGAAACATAACCTACAAACTATCTATAGACACACTAAGAAAATCCAACCAATGCTTCGTTCAGCAAAGGACAAGAGGGATACTCTCACCCCTGCAGGAGTCTACCGTATACCATGCAGCTGTGGACAAGTCTACATAGGGATCACCAAGTGAAATGAACAAAATCTGACTATCAGTATTAACAAAAACTCTAAAATCAAGATAGTAAATAAAGAGCAAAACTGAAAAAATGGGAATTCCAGACAAGAATCAATCATGGCCAGTTAACACCTCCTACAAAGAACTCCCCAGGCAGCAGGCAGCCAAAGTTTGAAACTGTAAGGCCATTAGATGCTAATCAAGGTTGCCAATTGCAAAATTCACACTTGCCTCAAAAAGTCAAGAGTTCTTTTGCCCACCCTGGATATCCCACAGATATATAAACCTCACTTGCCTAATTTCCAATAGACCTTACTACTTCTGAGGATGCCTGTCATAGATGTGGGTAAAATGTCAGAAGAGAATGCTTCTGGAGCATGGCCATACAGCCTGGAAAACTCACAGGAACCCATGAAAGATACATTTGTGTTTCTCCCCACATTTAGCTGGAAACCTCAAATGAAAAACTAGCATAACCCAATTTTATGCAAAAGTTATTAAACATCTTGCAACTCTGGATAAATGTATTCAACTCACCAAATTCATTCAGATTAGCAAAGAATAATTTCTTTTATGAATTGATTGAATCCTCCTTTTCATTTGTCTTTCACTTGACAATTTAAATATTCATAATATCAGCTGAGGTTCCTTCAGTGGAAAAGAAAGAAAGAAATTCAAGCCATTGCTTTATTTAGGGGTTCACTTATTTATTTTTTCCCTTAAGGTTTTAGACCATTGAAACTCTAAGCTTTTCCTCTCAATGTCCATCTGAATGCTTGAATGGCTACGAACAAGAGTCGTTTTGGAAGAATACATTCATATCTGCTTTTTAGAAAAGGCAGATGTACATAGTAATTCCATTTACTTGACTGATAAAGGGACGATCACCCATTTATATTGCATGTTTTATGCATTTTCCTTTCCTGAGAAACTTATATTAGGAGGTCAGTTTTGCCAAAGAAATGGATTGTTGTCATAGAAAACATTGTAGAAAGGTTGCTCTTAAAATATTTGAGCTAAGATGTCAGCCAGCGAAATGAGTTTCTGCGGGAATACATTTGTTCAGGAAAAAGAAAGAATGCCACCATTATTCTTATTGATGACATAGATTTCCCAGGGCCTTGCCAATGAATTCTCACAACAGCTGCATTACTGCACTCGTTGCAAGGATACAAGCTCTTTTCAATCTTTTTTTTTTGAATGTGAAGTGATTGTATATACTCACGTACACGTCTAAAAAAAACAGTTAAAAATCAACCCACAAAACCTCTTGTCAATTTATCCATGGGCCAGTGTATGTATTGTATTTTAACTCTTATTTTAAAAAAGGAACCATGCCCTTCTCTAAGTAGAATAGAGAAATGTGACAATCTTTTCCATTCCACAAAAACCTAAATAAGCACCATTTTTTTTGTCATGTCAGGAGAGACTTGAGAATCTGCAAGTCATTTCTGGTGTGAGAGAATTGGCTGTCTGCAAGGATGTTGCCCAGGGAACGCCCAGATGATTTGATGTTTTATCATCCTTGTGAGAGGCTTTTCTCATGTCCCCACATGAGGAGCTGGAGCTAGTCGAGGGAGCTCATCCGCCTCTCCCCGGATTCGAACCTGTGACCTATTGGTCTTCAGTCCTGCCGGCACAGGGGTTTAACCCACTGCGCCATCGGGGGCTCCATAATGCCCTCTACTCTCTCTGCCACCACGTGACTTCTGACCTTTCTGAATGTCCCAGTAGGAAAATGGTGATGACTACACTTGAGCCCAGATCTGTTTTTAGCTATTTCTTTTTATCAATCTGGCTTCTTTGGCTTGATCTGGTATCCGTAACTACAAGGGCCTAGCTGTCACGGATTCCCATCCAAAAAGGGACTATGTGGCAGCCCATCTCAGCTCCTCCTCCCCTATTCGGCATCACAGTTTAGTCTTTTTGATTTTCTTTTATTTTCCTGATTCTTTTTATTTGGTGAGACTGACTAGGAGTTGGGCACCTGAGGGACAGTGGGTGGGGTCCTTGCATGTTTGGGTGCTTGGAGAGTCCCTTTTAATTTCTTTTCCTCCTTCACTTCCTCTCCTTCAGAAAATACTTCTAAAAGAAAATAATAATTATTAATAATAGTAATCCCTGCAAAAAAAAAGAGAGAGAGAGAAGTCTACCTGTCCTCTACAGTAGAAAGTAGAAACAGCTTTAAGGAAGCAAAACCCCAAGCAGAAAGGAGATTGCAGGGAAGAGAGGGGGTTTTTAAGGTAGTCCAGGGAGGATAGCTCTACTGAGCCTCGTAAATTCCCTATTGCCGCCAATAGGCCAAAAAAGCCGTTTTTTGGTTGGGTTTTTTTTAATGCAGAATGAAAACGCCCATTCAGCAGCACACCCATTTTTAGGAGGCACACAAAAATGGATATGGGGGGCTTTCACCTGAAATTTCACCTGAAATGCACAAGCCTAGTGGTGACAGTGGAAGTTTCTGGCACTTTCCTCAAAGGAGTGCTGAGAGATTACAAGGGGTTGGTTTTTCTTTCAAGTGCTCCTAGGATGGACTATGCTCTTGCTTTTTGCCACTCTACACAAAGTAAGAGATAATTTCTTCTTAGATTAGAATTAATAGTGTGCCTTAACTTCACAGAATCACTCTCAGCTTATCCAACTCAACTTATCCACATCCATAATTTTGGTCCCAGATTGTACATGAGGCTAACTTATACAGAAATAGCCAACCCATTATGTAATTTTTATAATTATTTTGGGCTTGGTTTTCCTTTGTTTCCCAAGAGTTGATGAATGGCACTTGACTATGGAAACAATTTTTTTTGTCGTGTCAGGAGCATCCTATGGAAACAATGAGACTTGAGCATCCACAGATTTTCATCTCCACGGAGGGTCCTGGGACCAAACCCTAGTGGATACCCATTGAATTATATTTCACCCTGAATTGCCTCGGAAAAAAATAAAAGCTGCAAAAAATACTAAAAAGCAATAAACAATAGAAAATTACAAACACCCCTCTTGAAAATTCAAAACATTTTGTATTTAATTAAATAGGTTAGACTGTTTTCTTTTGACATTGTTACCAATGGGATTTACTCTGTCTCTTCGTCTGTGTGTTTTCTTCTTTGAGGATCATTCAGATAGTCCTTTGGGAGCAGCTGTAACTCTGGCTCATGAACTGGGCCATAACTTTGGGATGAACCATGATACACTGGAAAGAGGTTGCAACTGCAAAGCATCTACTGACAAAGGGGGCTGCATCATGAACCCTTCGACAGGGTAAGTGTTAATTTGAAAATTTGAAAATTTATTTGGTTGTATTTTGTAAATTGTTTTGTGAGCTGCTCTGGGTCCCTTTGGGGAGATGGTGGCAGGTTACAAATAAAGTATTATTATTATTATTATTATTATTATTTAAAAAAAACAAGATGAGTCCATAGCAGACAAGATCACTCTGCTGGCTGTTGTATTGGACCACACGTCGGACACTTCCCAAGTGTCTAGGACTGTATGATGTATCGGTGAATAATGCGTGCAGATCCCAGTAAGGTGATCTTCTGCAGCTGGCAGCTGGTAATTTTGTCAGCGGCAGATGTGTTTAAGTGCAGGCCAAGGTCTTTAGGCACTGCACCCAGTGTGCCAATGACCACTGGGACCACCTTTACTTGCTTGTGCCAGAGTCTTTGCAATTCGATCTTTAAATCCTCATATTGTGTCAGCTTTCCCAAATATTATTATTATTATTACTTTTTCAGCTGGTTTTAAAATGTACTGTTTTCTCTCTGTTCCTTCTACATTTCCCCTTTGTTCTCATCTCATTTAGGTTGCTTCAAACTGTACTCAAAGTATAAAAATAAGGTTGGAGAGAACAGTAGGAAGTGGACCCTTGTTCTTCCACTCAGGCAAAAGCAAAGTGTTGTAACCTCTCCTTGGTTATATGTTCTTCCTCATTAACAACCACTGCCATGTTGACCACACCATCATGTTATCTAGCCACACATATTCCAATTTTCACCTGTGAAACTTTGGAAGGTACATGGTAGTTGTAATTTCTCCCCTTGCTGCTGAAAGAAAATGTACAAAGCTGTTAAGTTGCACAGTAGTCTTCATATTCGTCTATGGTAGAAAACAGAAAAATAAGACCATAAGAAAGAAACACTGCCAATTAAGGCAGGTTTGTTTGTGTCCTGTGGCAGAGCTGCCTTATAAAATTGGAGGTGGCTTTTATGTTTGTCTCACTCAGCTAAAGTCTCACTAAAATTCTTTCATTCTAGCACTCCAATTGCTGCTCTGTGCATTCTTCAGTCCCAGTTCTCTCACACAGTTACAACAAGTGGGATCAATTTAGTATATGATTTGCTAGGAGCAGGTGCACTCTCTTGTATGTAAACACTGTGGAGAAGTGTTTCACCGTGTTAGTCCTCAAAAGAAACTTAGCTCCAATATTGTTTGTCTTCAGATTTTAAAGGAAGTCTTTCTTCAGGTTCTCTGTTTATGACAGAATCTTTGTGATGTTAAATTTTAAGAGGGAGGTTGCATTTTCCTGGTAGCTACCCAGTACAAAGTGAGGCATTGGAGTTTATCAGATGAGGCACACAAATCGGCATTGCGACTGGACACAATGTTATATGCTTCTGCATATGTTTCTTCCATGCTTAGCTATTAACAGGAAAAACTCAACAACCCTATGGCATTCCCATTACCTACCGTGTTTGATGGGTCCCTTTTCTGTGCTGGGATGCTGGCGATAGCATGATTGTAGCAACAGTAGTGAGGGAAGGTGGGATTACAAGGGCATGTGGAAGTACAATCACGAGACCATGGATTAGCAAATCAGTACAATTCTGCTAGTGAAAAGAGGCACATTGTTGAAGCTGTTCAACAGAGTATGTATGATGTATTGTCAAAGGCTTTCATGGCCAGAATCACTGGGTTGTTGTAGGTTTTTCAGGCTGTATGGCCATATTCTAGAAGCATTCTCTCCTGACGTTTCGCCTTCATCTATGGCAGGCATCCTCAGAGGTTGTGAGACATCACATCCTCTGAGGATGCGTCATAGATGAAGACAAAATGTCAGGAGAGAATGCTTCTAGAACATAGCCATACTGCCCAAAAAATCTACAACAATCCGGAGTATATATGCATTATCAACGGTAATGTTACTATAGTGGAATAGTGGATTTATGTGATAAAGTCCAAAATGATTATCAGTCACATTTCGTTTTTAATTACCCTGATCACTAATAAGAAATGAAAGATAGGAATTATTAATAACTTAACAATTATGATGATGATTCCACTAAGTAAAGATCAAAGATCTGAATATTTAAATTGTCAGCATAGCAGGTTTTCAGATACAATGATACATGAGCCTTGAGCCCATACCCCCTTCTATGACTGTGAGGAATTTCGTTTTCAATTAAGCACAGTTTAGCATGGTATACAATGGTTATACTGTGGTAACTTGGACCAGCTCATAGCTTATGATCTGAAGTTGTGTTATTTGAGATAACGATTAATAAGACTACAATTAGTCTGGGTTCAGGCATAACAGTAAGCTGTGGTTTGTGTAAAGTAATTGCTATTGCATTTGAGACCAATAAATGAATATTCAGTTGTGCGCACTGCTTATAAATAAACAAATAAAGTATTTCTTGCCGCATGCCATTCACTTACTGGTAATTTGGAGCCTATAGATGTGTGTGTGTGTATCTCCAGTGCAATGATGCTTAATGTACTTTACATATAATTTATTTATCAATGCACATTGAGCCGCAAGTATTAAATATATGATTCTAGGAATGCCCTTGTCATTATCATTCAATAATTTCATTGTTCTCCATCTCATAGCTTTTGAAGTAGAATATAGCCTTAAAATTTGTAACTACATTTTGTTCTCTTTCATCTAAAGCTTCCCTTTTCTGGGAGTAATTTTTCTTGTTATTATCGTTGCAGGTTGTTGTGTGAAACATATGGTCTGGATATTGGAAACATGTTCATATATCCCTGTGTTTTGAATGTGTGAGGAAAGCATAGCAAATCAGAAATATGGTTGTTTGCTTCATTGATGTAACATATAATTTTATATGGTCTGTTACTTTCACAAAGTTATAATTTGAATGTATATGTCCCAAGGCATCCTACTAGTTAGTTATCATAATAATATTTTATATATTTGCTATCTCACTATTCAAAAAGGATTACAAATACTTACCTCCGATGACCTTTTTTCAGAACAAAATCTGACAGCTTCAGACCACTAATTTTGATTTTTTAAAACAATTCAATAATAAAAACACTCTGGATATTTTTTTTAAAATTACACTCAGAAAGCAAAGAAAATAAAGCAATCACTCATTATGGTACCATCATAATGTAAATTGGTTATACCTTAGTTGTTGCATAATTACAAGTAACATATTGTTTGTAATTAGTTGCTTTTAGGCTCAACTCTGAACTTTGAAATTGAAATAAAACAGACAGTGGTATTGATAACATTGATATTGAAGGGCCCACAGAAATATAACCCTTTCTCTTAAGCACATACAAAACTCATAAGATTTGCAGACACAGCTGCCTCCACATTCTTATTTCAGTGGATTTCTGCTTATTTTTCTCCAACTTTTAGCAGCTATGACTTCACTGGTTGGTGATGCTGAATAATGTCAACACTTTTCATCCCCCTGCATCCCACTCACAGTTGATGGGAATATTAATATTCTGTAATAGGGAGTGTTTCCTCCTTTGTGTCTCTTTGAGATCCAAGGAAATTGGTCTGTATAGCTTGAATCAATACCAGACTGTATTCTGATTGTCTTTTCAACCTGAACATGTTTGTTTTGTGACAGATTTCTCCAGAAAAAAAATGTTTGGAACAGCCTGAATTCATACGTGCATTTACTCCCATTCTTAGCCTTTCATACTGGCTGTCTTTCCTATTTATCCACTTTCTCAGCCTTTCCATCTTCATGAAAATGGGTATGAATGAAGTGATGTTTGAAGAATGGGCTACGTAAATTATATTTATAAAAGAAAATGCTGTATTCAATACGTATCTGTATTAAATAAGCAGAAACGACAACTGAGATTGTAATGAGTCTACTCACTTTAAGCCTGGTCACTCTAATCCAGTGGTTCTCAACCTATGGATCCCCAGATGTTTTGGCCTTCAACTCCCAGAAATCCTAACAGCCAGTAAACTGGCTGGGATTTCTAGGAACTGTAGGCCAAAACACCTGGAGACTCACAGGTTGAGAACCACTGCTTTAATCAAAAGAAATGTTCAAGTGAGAAGTTCAAGTTCAAGTTCACCTTATTATGGTCAATAACCAGCTCATGAGAAGAGGGACACAGTCCAGCACAAACACATCAGGTCTAAGAGTTGAGATATTTTAAACTTTAAAACTTCCATACTTTAAAACCTTAACATTCTAAAACCTTAAAACAAGTGTATTATTTCCAGAACATCCAGACAAGAGTATATCAAAATTAATGGATTTAAAAGGGAGGGAGTCTGAAGGGAGGGGGTTGGGATGCTCATATAGCACAGGGAAGGGGGAAGTCCAGTCAGGAAGAAGAGAGAGCAACAACCATTACTATAATTAAAAGACTATAATTAAAACACTATAATCCCAATTTTCTTCTAGTATGAAATCTTGAATTGTACTAGCTGGTGCTATTCGTCATTTACTGCTGGATTTTAATTGCTGCTGTTCAGAACCTGGCAACATTATAGGTTATATCCAAGTTCGTACCTGAAAGCAGCAGGAAGGTCCAAAATTGTACAGAGCGTCCTGGGTATTTGAGTAGCCATGACGTGATGAGATGGAAAGGTAAAAAATAGGAGAGGTAAAAAAAAACTTACCGACTCAATCAATAATAAAGGATGGGGAACTGGCTAAATCTAATTGGTGCTCAGTGTCAGTTATTCGTTGCTTAATCAGAGATTTGACTTGGTCGTAGCCCATACTGGTTAGCAGTCCTGGAGAGAAGCCTAAGGATGAAATTTTGGCTGTTATTGCTTTTTCCCAACTGGGCTGAAAGTCATCTGACATAGCAAGAGGTGCAAGGCCAAGGGGAGAGTGGGATAGTCTAAGCCAATAGTTCAGTATAACCACCCACACCCTGGCCTTAATTCTCAGGAAACCTGTCTCCAGTCGTAGGGTGGCATTGGAAACACACCTTGGGACCTGGAGGGCTGATCTTAAGAATTTGGATTGTACACTCTCCAATGAGGTAAAGTCAGAAAAGGGGCCTAACTAGGCACTGTATAGAAGTTG